GATACTGCCTCTCTTTTTCAAAAATATGCATCAAAGAATATATTCTGCAATGACCTTTATCAAGAATAAGTTAAAAAACTCTGTATGCCTTTTTTTTCTTTAATTGTGTTTTGTATAATTCATATACTTAGGTACCGACATGTTAAATTTAGTTAACAAAATTTTTGACAATAGACCACCATAGCTATAAATCCTAGCTACGCCACTGGGAGAAGTTGGAAGCATCGAGTTGTATATTGCAGCTATCTGGATGGGGGCTTCCTCGATGCCGAGTTCGGTCACATGCATGCACACGAGAGAGGAAAGCGGCGCTGTTTTTTCAGTGGGCTCTCCGTGATGCCAGCTCATTGCAGCTTGTCTCGAGTTCTTTACCGATGCTGAGTTCCTGTATTTGGTTTTGGACATATACTGTGGCTAGTTTTAGGTACTATAGGGAGTACAGAGTTCAAGGCAAAGAACAGAAGAACTAAAAGTACTCATGTTTCATCGCATCTCTATCACACCAGCTTAAATAAATATATAACAGCTACACATACTCTAGTACCACTATAGTACAGTCCAAGACTATTATTTTTATCATAGAGCCGGTAGCTGGTCTATTTGGTATAGCTCATCTTCAATAATGAAGTTGTTTTTGGCTTTGGCTCTAGAAGCACCTTTATTGGTGGAGTTGATTCTGCTTTAGTGAATCGTTTAGCAAAACAGCTTCTTCCGATAGACAAAAAGATATGAAATGACCAAAAAGCCCCCCCCCCCTCTTTTTTCCTTTTTTCCTCTTTCCTAATTCTTTCACGGTTTCACTTTCTTCCTTATCCATTTAGCCAGCCTCCCCTCTCGCCCGAGGCCCGAGCTCGTCTCCCTGGCCCTCGCTCAATCTCTAAACTCCGACCTTGGTGGATCTCCGTGCCCAAGTGCCAACCGAGCTCGCACTTATCACCGCAAAAAGGGTTGCACTCCGCATGCCCTTCACGACTTGGCGAGGCTACTTTCGCCCGACGTGGCTCCCCCATCCCCCTCTCCCACCCAGCCCGGCGCCGCTGACTCCGCGCACGCGCGCCCCTGGCTGTCGTCGCCCCTCCATGAGCCGACCACCGTCGCAAATCTGCCTAAGGCCACGCAGGGGGGGGGGGCACTAGTGTGTGATGAAGTTGGACAAAGCTGGTTTTCTCATCTTTATCCCATACCCCACGCTTGTGAGACCAGATTTTGTAGGGCTTCATCGGTGAAGCTCTTTCAAAAGTGCCCATTTGGAGCTAGCCGGAAAACAGCTTCAGAAGCTGCCCATGAATCCCTACCAAACAGGGGCTTTGGCGCGTTTCATTGCCACCATTGACTTACCGAGGCATCATGTCCAGATTGACTTACCAAACGGGGCCATAATCTAGTTAGTTCTCATCTCCTCGCAACTCTGCCAAAGTCAGAGAATGGATATGCCATGAACAAGACCAATCTCAAAGTGCAAGTCCATTGGCTATGTCACCCTTCTATGCGTCCCCTCTGCCTCTGAACCAGCAGTAGTGAGGTTTGCTGTACTAGTGTGAAATACATCACCATTAGTTCTCACATAACCGGCGATGAAATTGCCGAAGGTGATCAAACTTTTTGTGGTAGTGACAACCTTCCACATTGGCTATGTATGAAGCGCACGTATATCATGATGCCAATATTGATCAAGGGACAAAACAATCTGGCAATGACATCAACTTGTAATTAGGACTATTGGTCGATGATCTACTGAAAATGTTGACTGACGCTTTTGAGGTGTGGGACGAGAAAAAAAAAAGAACGCTTCAAGGTGAAAGGATCACTTCTCACTACGTCACTCAGTTTGTGATAAAAAGGACTAAATTATCCGTAGGGGAATGTACTTTTTTGGTTACGGAATTAGATAGGTGCAAAAACGGAAATTAGCTTGTATTATCGAAGAATTCCACACATATAAATACTGTACTATTTGTACAGTGTCGCACAGGTGACTGAGAACACGATTTGGCTTTTTGTCGAATCGTTCATCATTATTTCACCATGATAGTTGAGTGAGGTCAAGCCAACAATGTTTGCTACTAGTTTGTTCTAGGGTGGGTTATTTGCATATTTCACATAGGAGAAAAATGTAATGCTTCACTAGCGAAAGCGACATCTTGTGCTTCGCTGGGGATCACACGCCGCTCACGTGCTCCGCTGGTCGCGCGCTAGTCCTGTCCAATTAAGAGCGAGACTAAACTCGATCACTGCAAGTCAAGCAATTTTAATTATAATTATAATAAGGATCAGCCCTATATTACTCCGTTGAGTCTAGGGATATACAAATACAACAACTAGAACAATAAATGAATAACTCGAGGCAGGTTCATGTGAATCTGACTTTGGGCTATGCGTCTCTTGGCATCCCGAAGGAGTCACACAGAGAGAGAGAGCGCTCTGATAGCGTTCCCAGCAACGAGAGATGGAGTCCCTGCGGTCTTTCTGAAGGAAGAAGAAGGCTCTTGTAGCAGGGAAGCACAACTCAACTCTGCTTTGAAGAGAAAATCACAGCCATGGTACGTGACTCGAAACTACCTTTATCTGTCGCAGTGAAAATGCAGTCTCTGTGTGTGTGTGTGTGTTTTTTTTTTTTGAGGATTTTTAAGGTAGAACTCAATGATACTACTTTCGTTATGAGCTTTCCTTTTTTTTCATTTTATTTAGAAAGCATCGCTTCCTGAGGTGTTACCAGCACACACCTACACGGAGCTCTCTTTATCTTTAACGAGTCATTTCACTCGGTACCAGTGTTTTTTCCCTCTTCTTATTTTGGACAATTGGGTTTCTGGTTATGGCTGATTGGTACCGCAATCCAATTGAGCAGATCCAAAAATGTTGTTAGTTGTTGTAGGGAATCCTGGATCCTTCTAGGTCCAAAGATATGACCCAAGAGGAGAGGGGTGAATTGGATCACTAAAATTTTCAGATCTCTAACTTGAAACTACACGAAATAAACAAAGTTTATCTATAATCTCTACTTGTCTGATTATTTTGAAAATTTGTAGGATTTATTTGCTTTTCTAGCATATCTAATAAGAGTTAATATGGAGACTCTATCAAAACCTCTAATCAGTAACAATAAGATAAGATAGTGATATAAAAGATAAGAAAAAAGACCGTTGCTTTATTTCCTTCGCCATATTATATTCCGGTGCCAAAATGAGTACTCCCTCTGCCCCAAAATAAGTGTCCTTCTCGTTTTCGAGGAATGAAATGTTTTTAACTTTGACCAAAAGTATACAAGAAAATATTAATATTTATAGTACATAATTAGTATCATTAGATAGATCGTTGAATTTATTTTCATAATAAACTTATTTGGATATATAAGTATAGCTAATATTTCGTACAAACCTAGTCAAATTTAACAAAGTTTAACAGCACAAACAGCATAGCGACACTTATTTTGGGACGGAGTGAGCAGCATATAGGTCATAGTTGACAACTGCTATTTTCACTTGAAACAAAAGGAAAAAGTCTATTTTGCCTCCCTCAACTATCGCAAAAGTCAGTTTTTCTCCCTGAACTAGAAAATCGAACATAAGTCCCCCCATCTTTTCAAACCGGACATATGACCTCCCTGGCTGTTTCACTGGGTGGTTTTTCTTTTTTTCTTTTATATTTATTTCGGCTGAATCTTTGAAAAATCATAGTAAATTATAGAAAAATCATAAAATAAAAAATTGAATTTTGTTGGACTCCACATGAGTAGATCTACACAGTAAACATATGATATGGTATGCTTTAGTATAAAATTTTTGCTCTAACTTTTGATTCATGCTTTTCTGTGATTAATTCATAGATGCAGTTTCTATGGTCCTATTATGGTGGAATTTTTATGATGAACTAATCATTGTATGCTTGAGATGTAAAAATTCCATGCTTGTTGGATCATGTATGAGTGAGTTATAGACTTCTTTAGACCACCTCTTGGATCATTGTATGCTAAACAAAACTACAAAAGGCTTGGGCAGCAGCCGTGTGTTGGGCTTGGGCCGGACCGGGCCGGACGGAATGGAAGTGGAACCACCACCACTTGCACTTGTTCACCGTGCCGTAGCTTCGGCCGACGTCAGAGCATCCGGTTCCTCTTTAGCGTGGCCTGTCGTCATGAGATGGATATGGTTAGGTATTGGGTACAATATATAATGATCACAAGAGTCAAAAAAACGTGATCACATATTTGACCCGGTGATGGTCAGCATCAGACATCAGGTGTGTGTGCACGCGTGCGATTAGAATTTAATTTAGATTTGCTAATGATCAACCGGTTGTTTTAGGGGAACCTAGCAACCGGATTTTCCACCGTTCGATTGTTTTGGGCCTGACCGGATTATCCGTGGACCGTTCCATTGTTTTGGGCCTGACCGGATTATCCACCTATGAATGCCGTGGAGCTGCTGGATGCTGCCTCAGGTCTCGGCCGCCATGCGCTTCATTAACCTGTGTGCCTTCGTTGGCACCGTCGTGGCTTACCTGCTACCCATGCCAGAGTATATAGTAAACAAACATCCACGCCATTATATGTCCTTTGTGGGGGTTGCTGCTCATGTGCATAATTTTTGATCAATTTGACGATATTTGTGAACAATTTGACATATATTTCTCTAATGTCTCAAATTCATAAAAATAATTTATAATTTTTTAAAAAATTTAGCATATATTTGTGTTATTTGCAAATTACATCACTATGTCCAATAAATTACACTAAAGAAATCATTGTAAATATAGTAATAAGGCGGTGCAAATATAGCTTTAAGACCGTGTAAGTGCATGGACAAAATCTAGTTGTTGAGAGAGGCTAAAACAATCGGTCGTTGGCTAGACAGATCCTAATTCAGATTTACCTATCTGCAGACTGATCACATCCCGCAACAAGAAGCTCGATCGTGCTTTATTTGGAATTGCACGGAGCCTCCAATTAAAGGCATGATGAAAAGCTTCTCGATCAAATCCTTGAGCTGCTGAACCTGAACATGCCGCCCGTCGTGCGCGCGAGGCGCGCCAGCACCGTCGTCCCGCTTCTCTCCGCCGCCGGCGGCACGGGCACGCCGAGGGAACGGCCGGGCACGCCGAGGGAACGGCGCCGCGTCGACGTCGACGTCGTCGTGCCGCTCTCCCCCTTGGACACGCGCTGGGCGGCGCTGCCACCCGTGTGCCACGTCTTCCTCTTCCCTGCTGCTGCTGCTCATCAACAGCAAGTCCCCTTCTCGGACGTCGTCCGCGGCCTCATGTCCTCCCTCGCAGCGGTCCTCCCAGCGTTCCACACGCTAGCCGGCGAGCTCGCCTACTCGCCGGAGCTGGGCACGGTCACCATCGTCTGCGGTGAGGATGCCGGCGTCGCGTTCGTCGAGGCGGAGACAGACCTCGACCTCGCCAGCCTTGTCGGCGTCGAGGACGACGATGGCGCGGTGGATCTGGACGTCGACGCGCTTCCGCAGCTTGTGCCGGATATCCGCCGGGAGGAGCTCCCGGCGCCGATGTTCGCGGCGCAGGTATGTGTATCGTATGTATGTATGTACACGTGACCGACGTATGCCCTGGAGCCGAGCTCCGACCGTGGCTTCCTAAGCTTAAGTAGAATGTCCCCGCCATAGCCCCCATGTGCTGTGCTGTGCAGGTGACGGAATTCGTCGGAGGAATCGCGTTAGGGGTGGCCTTGAACCACGTCGCCACGGACGGGATCGGCTTCTTTCGGTTCATGGAGATGTGGGCCGCGTCGGCCGTGGCTGCCGGTGCCACCAGCTCTTGTTGGACTTGGACGGAGCCGCTACATGACCGGAGGTTCGTACGCTTCGACGGCGACCAGGAGTTGGCCCGCAGGTTGTTGCGGCAGGCGGCGCCGGACTTGCCCAGGGTGAGTTACTATCTTTCCGTGGCAACGAACTTATCTGCTGTTTGGTTGGTTCCAAAGTAAGGGAAACGTAAATGAATTAGTTCAAACGTATATCCCGCCGGTAACGCCCGGAGCTTATTATCATCTACGTTTGCGTTACATTTCTCCGCACCAAACAAACAATTGTTACATACATCATTACACAAGAAATGTCCTCACCTATTTAAGTATTTGTAGATTGACTATCAAATATGAACACCGGTGGTCCGGTGAACTTGCTCTAAGGCATCAGTCAGTTCTCATCTTCTGGCAACTTTGCCAAAGTCGGATCTCCTGTGTTTGTAGGGTGCGACATAGCTTGGCAACGATGATGCGGCGGTCTTTTTAAGACGGTGTCAGTTTCCATTGCAGGTGTTTATTGTGACTTTGAGCCCCTGTTTGTTTGGGTTTTTTGCCGGCTCCTGTTAGCCAGAAACTGAGACAAACAGTCCAGCTTTTGAGCTAGCTTTTAGAAAGGCGGAAAACCTGGTTTTTGAGTAAATAAATGAAGTAAAAGCTGAAAAGCATTGCTGAGAGTAACTTGTCTGGCTTCTGGTCTACTGATAAGCTGAATATTACGAAAGCCAATGATAAAAAAACCAACAGCTAAAACCTCAAAAGGTGTAGTTCAAACAAACCGACTCTAAGGCTTGGACTTCGATCCATTGTAAAGAAGTCGAAGTTGCTTGGCTATAATGTTGAGCTTGGCAACGATGACTTAAGCCGGACTCATTTTGGGTTAATCATTTCGGTCATGTTGTCGATGCCAGGGTTTTGTTGTTTTTTCTTTTATTTAACCATTGACCATAATAGTTGTGTCAACTCTTTTGTTATAAACTGGATGAACTCTTTTTCGTTTTTGAGAAGGTGAACTCTTTTCTCCCTTAATTGAAAGTCACAACTCCTCGCAGTCCCAGTTGTGTTAAGAAAAAAAAAAGTTTCTTTATCTCCTGCTTGCTAACAGCTTCAAAAAAGGATCCAAAGCTAGCAGACTGAGGGGTGTTTGGTTATTTAGTCGTTCTTAAAATTCATGTCACATCGAATGTTTAGATACTAATAAAGAGCATTAAATATAGATTAATTATAAAACCAATTACATAGACTCAGACTAATTTGCGAGACGATTTTTTAAGCCTAATTAATCCGTCATTAGCACATGTTTACTGTAGCACCACGTTGTCGAATCATGGACTAATTAGGCTTAAAAGATTCGGCTCGCAAATTAGTCGCAAGTTGTGTAATTAGTCTATATTTAATACTCCATGTATATGTCTAAACATTCGATGTGACAAGAATTTTAGGAGCGCACGTAGAAACAAAACAGGGCCTGAATTGAACACTGTTGTGACAGTAGTTCTGTACTACTTCTATTCAAAACATATGTGCAGCTGTCTTTTCTTTTTTTTTTCTTTTCCTTTTTGTTAGCGCCTGTTTGGATCTTATGAATTGAAACTAGAAAAGTGCTTTTCCATTTTATTATTAGATTGTTTTCTCGTTCCTCTCAAATCCTGGGAACTATATAAATAGAGCCTCAGGGTTTTTTTTAGATTAAGAGGTGAAAGTGAATATTTTGAACATATTTGATGTATACCCTGAAGATTGTGCCGAAGCAACAAGGTCCGACGCCGCAACGCCCGCTCCTACTCAGCCGGCGAACATTCACGTTCTCCGCACACGCGCTGCGGCGTCTGAAGCAGCGGCTCACCGCCGCCGGACCCGGAGTCGTCGTCGGAGCGGCGCCATCCACCTTCGCCACGCTGGCAGCGCACGGCTGGGTCAGCTTCGCGCTCGCCAACGGCTTCACCGACGCGGCCCCAGTGTTCGCCGTCTTCCTCGCCGACTGCCGCACCCACATGTCGCCACGGGTGCCGGACGCCTACGCCGGCAACTGCGTCGTCTCGTGCGTGGTGGCGCTGAGTGGGGCGGAGCTCACGGGGGCAGACGGGCCGGCGCTTGCGTTCCTGGCCATCAGGGACGCTGTGGCGGAGGTGAAGCGGGATCCGCTTGCCGGCAGCGGCAGCTGGATCACCAGGTTCAGAGCCGCGCCGCCCGGCCGCAAGGTCGTCCTAGCGGGGTCGCCGTGGTTCCCGGCGTACGCGGTGGATTTCGGGTTCGGGAGGCCGGTCAGGGTGGAGAGGGCGTCCTTGGAGCAGGACGGCGCCATGGCTATCTTCGCTGGGAGGGAGGCTGGCTCGGTGCAGGCGTCCGTGGCCGTCGCAGCGGGAAAGATGCCTGCGTTCCACAGGATGTTCGAAGTCAAGTGTGGCAGTAATAACTCGAGACTTTGAGCACGGAAGGAACTCAAGTATGCTACGCTGAAAATGCCTGAAATACCGTACTCTCTCCGTTCCAAATTATAAATAGCTTTGACTTTTTTGACATCCATTTTGCTATCCATCTAGTCTAGATAAATAATATATCTAGATACATAGTAAAATGGATGAACCAAAAAAGTCAAAACGACTTACCTCTGTTTCAGAATGCAAAACATGGTACAAAATATAGAAATCAAACATATGGTTTTTTAATATAATGGACACACCTCTTGCATTTTAGAATCTATATATGGATATTGTAATGGGCATGAATATTATTTCGAGCATATGACCATGTCCATAGATAGTGCCAACAACAATACATTATCTATCCCTAGGACCCCTCACGTCGTCTCTCTCGGCGACTTGAGGGGCGACGCCTCCACCGCCGGCACAACGCCTCTCTTGGCTAGCTCGGCCGTCGCCGCCACGGCTCCCCGGCAACAACGGGCGTGGCGGCGACGGCCAGTGGGCGGCGCCCAACAATGCAGCCATCCGCGTGCTTCTTCACCTTCCTCCACGACAACTCTTCTTTCCAACTTTAAATTTTTCTCGATCTATTCTTACTCCATCAAGATCCCTTCTTCTAAGGGCCAGATCCGTACTTTTGGGGACTGGATCTATGGTGTGCAACGTGGCAACGCGACTCCCAGCCAGCTCTGGCTCCGTGGTGGCCGCGGTGCGTACGCGCGCCTTTCTGCATCCTGGCCCGCAGCTCCGCGCGCTGCGTGGGAGGCAGTGAGCTGGGAGGCCTGGGCCTCGCCGCCACGGTGGTCTGCACGAGGATTCGGTGTGTGGACACCTGCGGGGTGTCCGGTGAAGGGGAGTCGCCGGTCATGGCCATGCCGGTTCTGGGCCAGTGGAGCCTACAGCTGTGGTGTCCGCTTGAGGGCCGACTCGGGGGGGCATCGTTGCCTACGCCCACTCCCCCGACATGCACGGGCATGGAGGCCGCCTCCCGCTCTTCTACTGGCTCGCCGCGACCAGCGAAGGCAAGACGACGATGCTTCTGGCTAGGAGGTCGCCAGCGGCCGCGGAGCTCGGCTACGTCCTCCTGCCCAGGTGGAGGCAGCGCGCCGTGGCTGGGCGCATAGGTTCGGAGCCGTGTGGGCTGCAGATCTGCGTCAGGCTCAACAAGACATGTGTAAGGAAAACGGACCCTAGACCAATTTACTTTGGATTTTGGTGTTTGATGACCGACACAACTAAATTGGACTAATGAATTTGCAAGCAATTATTTTGTAGTTCAATAGGGTGCAAGACGTGACTTGAATGAAGGCGACATGATGTTCCCACGATCAACGCCATAAGCAAGATCCTAGAAGCATAAGAGAAGACCCAAGATATCAAGCAAAGACCAAGCACGAAGATGGGAACCAAGCCGGACGCAAGATCGCGAAGAAACGAGTTCAGCAGAGGTCACCGGACGCGGCCCTATGAGGACCGGTCGCGCCCGATCAGTTGCTCGGCAACAGCAGGCGTCAGCAGCTATGACCGGACGCTGAACGAAGCAGTGACCGGACGCATCGATGACACTATTCTTCGTCACGGCAATGTTTTCAGCGTGACCGGACGCAGCGGCACTGGATGACCGGACACACAAAGTGCAGCGTCCGATCATGTCCAGAGAGGTTCCAGAGCGACGGAATTACGACCGGACAAGTCCGGTCGATGATGACCGGACTCGGCAGTGCGTCCGATCTCTACGCGCGCGCTCAACGGTCGGGACGACCGGACGCGTCCGGTCAGGACGACAGCAGCGTCCGGTAAGTAGCAGAAAGCTAGGTTTCATCCCCAATGACTACTTTCTCCATGTGGCTTATAAAAAGAAAGGGGGACGGGTGGTGGTGTTTGGGGTGTTCCAGTTGTAGCCTCTCCTTGGGGGTGTTTGATTCTTCTAGAGGGCTCAACTGCCTTTTTGGGGTTGCATCTAATCCTAGCTTTCGTGCATGAGCTTGGGGCATCCATCCAGGAAAAAGACCACCACATCTCCAAAAGCATAAGCTTTAGATAGATGAGGAGGAAGAGGTAGTGCTAGCTCCACATTAGCCTCGGCATGGTGACGACAGCTGGAGATGGAGGGGACTAGATTTCGGCCCATTTACAGCTCAGACCGTAGCAGTACGTACTTGGTAGTATAGGATTTGCTTTCCCAAGTCCACGCTGTACAGCAGCACCGCGCGCGCGTCCCTCACATGGGATTGGGCTACTACCGGAGCATACACACAGGAGTGGTGGTAGGGAGCTTGCCTGGAAAATTATTCCAGGCGGGCCCTGGCAGGAAAGCATTATTGCACCGGTAGTAGGTTTGTAGGTGAAGGATCCCCAAGTGGAAACAAAAGAAATCTGTTGTTTCCAGAAGGAAAAATAGAAGGTGGAGGGGGGAAAAATCAGGGAGAAAAAAAGACCGTTATTCCTTGCAAATCTATGCCGCTCTGCCCTCTCGGCGGACGGCCTTGCCTGGCTGGCAGGCGCTGGCGCTTTCACGCCGCGGGAGAAAAATCTACGACATCCGTATCGTCGCTGCTGCTCGTGTTATTAGCACTGAAAGTTTGTAGTAGGGATTACAAACGAGCGAGAGAGGGACATGTCCCAAGTCTCTGATGTGCGTGTACTCCTAAGGCGTGTTAGGGCGTGTGTTTAGATGTCTATAGCCGTGTAGAGTGGTGAACCGTCCTCCCTCCTGGGGCGTCCTGCTTCCCTTTTTATAGACGAAGGGGAAGAGCAGGTTACACAGAGAAAGAGGGAGAAGAGCCAAGGAGAGTAAGTATTCCAGCACTGCCGAGCCTTTCTTCTCCTTTATGCGGGTCCCGCCGACACCGCAGATGGTGACAGGGACAGGTCCACGCCGGGCGCCAGTTCGCCACCAATGCCATGCCCTGGCGTTTGTCAGCGGGTCGTAACGTCTCATTCCGTTTCGGCGGGCGACGCGGCGAACCAGCGTGCTAGTCAGCGGCCGTACAGGAAGTAGGCAGCATAGTGACCACGCGTCCGTCACTGTTGGTGATGTGGGTTCCCTGGAGTGACATGTCGCGGGCATGGGTCATGTTGAGATGTAACCGCTCCTTGCACGATGCCAGAAGTTTGACATTGGGTTGTACTTTCTGGCCCGTAGTGGTTGGCGGCGGCACGGGCTTCCGTCAGGAGCCGCGCCTGAGGGGTCGGGCCAGACGGAGCCCCTGACACAGAGGCCGGGCGAGGCAGAGTCCCCGACCCAGAGGTCGGGCGAGGCGGAGCCCACGCATCTGGGGGTTAGTTGGAGCTGTAGTCGCGCTCTTGACTGCTCGGATAAATCAATCTTGATGGCCATTAGATCCTCCTCTTCGGATACCTTAGTATTAGTCCCCGACAGGCTGGGGCGGCGGCAGGGGAGGGGCGGGAAGTAGCAGATGGGTCATGGCGTGAGCACCCGAGGATTGCAGATGATGCGTGGGCGTCGGTTCCACGGGGGCTGGGCGAAGGAAAGGGAGCGCGGGCGGAGGTTATTAGCTGGGCGAGCGGTGACGATAACATCTGGGTCTTTTTAGAGTATATATATAATATATATACACCCCTCAGTAGGACTTTAGAAATAGATATGTCATCATGATTCTAATGCTCCAAACAATAAAAAAGGTGGCAAGGCCATAAATACCGTGTCTCCTTTTGAAAGAACGTTTTTTTATTAGAGATGAGAGGTTCTTTTTGTTTTGATCATCAAGAGATGAGAACTTTTGGAAGCAATGTGGTGAGACCTTGGGTGTTGCACATGATGGTGCCCGTGTGGGACTGGTGGTGCAATGGCGCATGGCTGGCCAAGGGTGGCGGCACCGTTGAGTGCAGCCACGAATGGGCCGGAACAAAACAGGGGGCAGGCTGGATATTGAACCCTGGTGGATAAAATTTCATCATCTTGTTAATACAAAATGCTTCGAGATCTGTGCTTTTACTTTTGGGAGAAAAAAAGTCCACACTTCGAGAAGTGTTTAGCGCATGTCGTCCTTGAAAACCTCATACTCCTCGGGCAACAAACATCGGATCAGACTTAAATTATTACTCGACTGAGTCTCACGAGTTAATATGCAATCCAACAACTAGAATAACTCGAGACAAGTGCCTGTTTTTTTTTTTTTCTTTCTTTCTTTCTTTTTGAATGAACAATCCAGGTGAAGGCAAGTATGTTTGAATCTGAGTTTCGTGTCTAGGTCCTTCAACTTGAAGGGGTCAGAGCAAGTATAATAGCAGGATGTAAATCGGCTGAATGCTGAGTGCAGGAGAGAAGAGAGGAAAGAGAGGAGAAGCGGGCTGTAAGCTTATAGCCGGTTTAAACATAAGAAACGAGAAACTTTATTTTATGAGAGAGATAAATGGGTCATATATTAATAGTGAAGAGATAACTATTATATGAGTGGGCTAAGAGAGAGCTAAAAGGATCGTACATCCGCCTGTATTATTAGCCTTGCTCACACGGAGAGAGAGCTCAGCTAGCTCTTGCAGCATCCAGAGGTGCCGGCCCGTGCTGTAGCTTCTGAATGAAAGCAGGTCCGGAGGCCCAGCTCTGCTACGAAGAGAAAAGCGCTTTATATATATATATATATACAGAGAGAGAGAGAGAGAGAGGTGACTCGAAACTACTTTCATCCGTTGAGTGAGTGAAAACAGTATTCTGTGTAATTTTTGTCGAACGGAAGTTCTGCAGTGGACCTTAAAATACACTACTTTATTTACTGCTTCGGTTTTCTGTTTCTGTTTTCATTTCATTTGTTAGAAAGCAGCGCTCCTGAGTCATTCAGTTAGTGATAGTGTGCTTTCTCTTCATATTTTGGATTGGAGTTCTGGTTATGGCTGATCCCATTGTACCACAAACCAATAATTTCGTCGGCTATATAGTACTCTGAACATACCCTGACTCAGAAATTAACAACGGACCTTTCAGCTGACAAGATAGTGATAAAAACAGTTATTTGTACGTGGTGGTTACATATATGTATATC